CTACAGTGTATCGTGATTTTCCAGTCTCTCTTCGGTGGCTTGTTATGACGTTCCCTTGCAATGTTGCAACTCTTTAGTTCTTCCTTATCTCCAAGTGAGATTACAAGTGGTCAGGTCCTATGCAATCCAGTCTTGATGAGATCAATTCAACTGTACACTAATTCACAATCGTAGAAAGAACTTCTTATTAAAACTCAGCTAGCTAAACGACTTATCTCTCCGGTCCTCCTCCGTGAGAGTAGGTCGTGACTTATCCTTCAACTGTGAGAAGTTTTGGAAGGAGTAAGTCGTGACTTATCCTTATACTGTAAGAAGTATTTGGAAAGAGTAAGTGAAGGTACATTACGTAGTCCCTTCTTAAATGGTTCACTGATCCCGCTCCACTTGGATCCCTTCTTTCTTTATTAATTAACCAATCAGAGGTTGATCTTGGGTCGTACAATAGATTATGCATGCCTTCATTTCCACTTCCTTCCGGGCTCAGTTCCGAATTTGCTAATCGGGAAAGTGTCGCAAGGTGGTGAGCCTTTTCCATTGGTCACCTCTCTTTGGTTGCCTCATCCCTCTCTGGGACTTAATGTTATTGTTGTTATTACGCAATGACAAGCATAGACCTGGTCTTTCATTAGTGTATGTAGAAATGTAAAACTGATAGTGCTTACGTGTAATAATCATATTATATAACATTGTATACAGAATGCACCTTACATAAAAATTTTTTTGTATATAATAAAAATGCATTATTGGAAAATATTCATAAACGTAGTCTCAAACATACATAAGTTATTTCTTTTAAATCCATAATAAAATTATTGATCCTCAGCTTACTTTCAGATAGTTATAAAATATTCATAGTAATTCCATTTATTTTTAAATGTATTTATGCAGTAAGCCAATTACATATTAAATAAATTAATAATAAGCACAAAATATTTGTTAAATAATTATTATTAATAACAAAAAACAACTGCTCCTGATATATTGGTTATTTGTCTAAAAAGTATTTGTGATTTTGATATTTTAATATTTTCACAATTTTCATAATAGATAACTCAATCAAGCACTTTTGAGATGTCGTAATTGGATAAATAAATTGTGTTTATATATATCTTCCTTTATTATTTCATTTACAAGATATTAATATTTATATTTTTGTTAAATATTAATAAAATTATTTTTAAAATATTTGAAAATTAATTTTTTTATCCAAGCAATGCATATTCAATTTTATAAATATATGAATGTGTTCAAAATATTATAGTGATGTAATTCTTGGCTCGAACTGCCAATGCTTCAATAGCTTAGTTTGCCGCCCGCCCTAGCAGACGCTCGGGAAGGCGTCAGATGTAGGGGCTGTACAAGAGTCGTGAGAGTTGGTTAATTGTACATTTATTATACAATTTATTACACAATTTACATATGGGTGTTGTAGAATCTTCTTAAATCTTATATGAAGATACGATTTCTTGAACGGCTTCTTATATAGGAGGTGTCACTACACAAGATTTCTTAAAATCGTTTAATTGATGAAAATTGCACAGGTTAATAATTACTGCACACTTCTTGTTGGAGAGTGTGTGATAATCTTGATGATTGTCTTATGCCGGATCTGCCACCGGCTGACAATAATTGAAGAGATAAAGTTATTAACATACTCACAGCGATGTCGTAGTTTAAATTCTGATCCAGCGGTGAGTTGGACACAATTGCACGCGGCAAGCAAGCGCGTGCGGCGTGACTCTTATACTCACCAGGATGCAGTAGTCTTGATCTGATTACTAACACTTATTTCTGCGTTGAATGATCTTTAAACTTGGCTTCTATGGACAATTAATTTCTATTACTTGACTTTCCTTAAGATAGCCCTTGATTGCCCACTCGAGCTTTTTCTTGAATTATCTCTACGGACAGTACTTGGCTGTCCACAGCCCTTGACTGCCCGTGCGGACAGCGTGTTCCAATTCTCCCCCGCGGACAGCGACTTTTCGCTGCCTTGTTCCCGTCTTTAAGGCCTTTTGCCATGAGTCCCCACTCAAGGAACTTCTGGTCTTAGTTTTCCAATCAGGGCGCGCCGTTTTTCGGCGGCATGATGAATGTGCACGCCCTTTTCCCACTTCATCAGAAATTAGGCTTAGACAATGAGAATATCGAAGGAGTATCTCTGGCGGCAATGCGTGAAGTGGAAGATTTTCCCCTCTCCGTGACTCATCGTGGGGGGAGGGGGGGTGATTTTTGGTCAAGCGTCTTTGCCAAGCGGCAACATTTTGTGTACTTGACAACAATGCATAGTATTCTAAGATTGTAGGCACACGTGCAACGCAATCTGTCGAGCATCGTGCGTGCCGAGTTTCGGATTGCAACGGATTTTAAGAATTGTTTTTCATTCAATTGTTTTGAAATATTTTAATCCTCAAAATATACTCGTATAAACAGTTTAGTCGGGTTTTGATGTGAACTCGCAAGGGTCGCTTATTGCATTCAAAACAATTACTACGTCTGCAGGTCAAAAGGCCATAAAGTGACTGTTTATGAGTGTCCAGATGTACGACCTTTCTTCGAGTCTCCAGTAATCTTGGCGAGACCTTCTTAGATTTCATGTCTGTTCACTAATTCTCTTTTAATATCTATTGAAAGTTTTTTAATGAATGTAATTCCAGAAATTTTCTTTTCACTCTCAAACAGAATGTTTTATATAGTAAAAAATTTCAAGTTTGGGATTGTTACATTATCATTAACATTATCACATAAATATTATCATTTTTTGTAAAGTGAAAAAATAAACAGTAAAAACATTAAAAGAATATTTTTATTATTGAAAATTTTAATTTTATATTTTTTTAATTAAATGAAAATATTTTATAGTGAATAAAATAAAATCATTATAAGAAGTAGATATATATAAAGGGATTTTCATGTTTGGAAAACTTAGTAGTGACTGTATTTATTAAATAGATTCATTTATTCTTGATGCAATTACAATTCATACGACATTTTATTGTTTAAGCTGAAGAAAATTACTATCAGATTAATAAAATAGCCAATTGCTTGGTGGGAAAAAAGTGCGGGCAAGAGGAAGGGATAGTGCATTAATTTAATATTTAACACATTTGTTTTCGTGTTGTTTATTGCGTTTTACCTTATAAACTACACAATATTGATTCTGAGTTGGTGATGGGAATCGGTGAGATCTCGCGGTTTTGTGGTAATCGTCACGTGGCATCAGCATGCACTACATGCAGAGGTAGAAGGTCGTAAAGCTTCAAATTCTCTTGACGTAGTGTGTTTGGTGGTAAATACTTACCACTGAAAAGCAGAAGGTTATAAATCTTTTGACTTCCTTGTGTAGAATTCCTTGTGCCACGTGATGGTAGACATTTCGAGAGAGGTGCCTTTTTTGGCTTGGTTCTTGACGTACAATAGAGAGGTGCCTTTTCTGGCTTGGTGCTTGACGCACAATTAGAGAGGTTACTTCGTTTTAGATGCTATTTTTACTCAGAGTGATTCAGTTTTCTTGCCTAACCTGTGATGAGTAACTATTGGAAACACGGCTACTGGCACACCCTTGTGGTCAGGAATTTTTTATAAATTGAGTTTCTTGCAGTTATGTACTTCCTTGTAATGCAGTCAGTACCTTTGACTACTTGTCCGTTATGTACAGCTTGTAATGGCTTCACTGTTTCAGTGTAACCCAATGAATAGTTATAGTTGTAGACTCTGGCTGATGGACGATAGTACAGTGAGCATACAATCCTGTTGAATACGTACACGATACTGAAGGCTTGTTCGTTCCGTGGCGCCTCTGCTGAGAGATACCGAATATTCCATCGCGGTCCTGCTAAAATAGACCGTGATCCGTGCCATGACGTCTTCACTGAGAGAGGTTCACTGAGAGAGAGAGAGAGAGAGAGAGAGAGAGAGGCTCGTAGCGTGCTTCCTTTAAATATCAGCGCGGTAGCTTACTTAGCCGGCAACAATGCATTGCTGTTGCTATGCCGAAAGTTTTGCATGACGTCAGAGACTAAAGTTCTAGAACTTTCGAGAATTCCAGTAAGACAAAGTTTAGAAGGTTCGAGAAATTCGAATCGACGTTGCTATGCGGAAATATTGTCGGACACTCGAAAATAAGGAAATCAATATTCGAGAATTCATGGAATCAATGTTTACAAACACAAGAGTTAGAAGGCTTAGAAGGCTTATACTTCTCCCAATGTTCAAATTTTTGGAAAATGTTCCGATTCCGGACACACACAATACACAATATCCTTAATAATATTGTTAAACTGACATGTAAAACTAAAAAATCAGTCTCAAAACCACCTCGTCTTACATACGAAAAAGCGATATTAAAGGCAACACTGCACGCATACGTTGTTATTAAATCCAGCTACATGTGGCTCGGATAGTGAAGCGAGAACGCGACAAAGAAATGCCCCTCATGGTAGGGATGAAAGTAAGAAGCGCTCTGATTGGAGCCGCCAATAATGAAAGAATCAATTCGATTGGAGACGCCTAGAAAGAGGCGTTCTGATTGGAAACGCCAAGAAGGAGGCAATTCGTAAAGACCATGCAGTGGCCGAGAATGCTTTGAAGGAAGACGCCGGTAAGGCACACCAGAGTCTCTTCTCACAAGAGAAGCTGGCAAGGCTTCTTCTCCAAAGGAACGCCAAATAATAAGGACGTAGACATGCACAGTAAAGGCCAATTAAGAGGCAAAGCCTAGTCATATCCAACTCATAACAAGTGCAAGATAAGTGCAAATCAAATCAGACACTCGCAGCAGTGGAAGACAAGGAAAAGGGAACAAGAAAACAGTGGTGCACAAATCACAACATAATCATAACCTATAAAGAGCCGCTCGAGACAAATTCAGCAAACAATACGAGGTATAGCCAGAAAAATACAAAACATAAACTACAAGCTGCTGCACGAGGCACAGCCTGAAGGCATCACTAGCTGCCATTAAGAGCACAAATTCTGCAGAACTTACGAGGCTCCGTACAGGGCAATATCTGCAGACGAAGATGAAGTGTCACCAAGAGCACACCTGCAGAGCTTAGAAGGTAAGCAATAAGACAATAACAAGGCAAACTCAAGCTACTGCCACGTGGCACTACACAAGGGAACGCGGGGGTTTACGACCTTGTTCTTCTACGTGTATAATTCCACCACCACGTGAATTACAAATGTATCATCATAGAGGACCAGAAGGTAACGCCCTTCTACCTGTACATGCAACGCATATCACCGCTCTGTGGCAATAGTAATCCAAAACTCAAGAAGCGAAAATATTCAAACATCAACTAAAAATCATTATAATACAACTAATGCAATTATCGCAATACATTAAAACAAATACCAATGCTTTTTATTATTGAATACATGCACTATCCTGTCAACTTGCCCACAATCCTCCCTTCCACCATCTGGGAGTTTACACCTAACTTTAGATATTTGGCCCTCCTCGCCCGGTACTCTAATTTTAGACAGTATGAACTTCAAAAATCATTATTTAATTTATAGCAAAATATACGAAGTCTGAGAGTCCCAAAAGTTCACATTCCGTAAAAGTTGTCTTATAATAATGTAAATTTATAAATTATAATAGTAATTATAAATTATAATTTATATTATAATAGTACTATAATAGTAATATAATATATAAACTATTTTAAAATAAAACAGCAATGATGCAATACATTTAAAATTGTTATAACACTTATTTGATTTTTTAATTGAATACTATTATTTATTATAAAAGATTATCAAAAGAAATCGTTTCAATATGGTCAGAGTATGTTTAAACCTAGGTTAAGGCTACACTTTTTTCAGAACTTGTGGTATAAATTGAAAAAGTAAGAATCATATAATTCTCAAGAATCGAATATTTTTTTTTTCATTCAACTCATAAGTACAATATTTACACTTCATCCTTGTTTACTTTTTGAAATATAAATAGTAAAATCAATCCGATGAGAAATTAAAATTATAGCTTCAATAATCCAACAAATATAATTGCTATTTCCACTATAATAAAAAAACGACTAATCCATCAATAAAGTATAAGTACGATCAGCAGTATAGAAAAATCTGGAAAATAGCATAATATTACATGAAATGCATTTTGCCGTGCACAAATGAATTAAATTTTTAACTTTAGTAACTTGTTAAATATAGTAATATTTAATTATATAAAATTTATAATCTTCTATTATATCAAATTAATAATATTTTATTATATTATTACTGTCCATGTTTATCTTATCAATAGTATGAAAAGCGTTTTCTATGCAATATGTTCATATATATAGTTTTTATTTTTTATTAATATAGAAATTAAATATACAAAATTATTATTTTTAAAAATAAGTAAAGTATTAATATGTATTTGAACATATAATTATAAAAACTCCAAACTTAAAAATATTTAAAAATATTAACTGTTATTAAATCTTCAAGTATTTAGATGCTTTATTACTAAAAATATAAAAAAATTAATATATTGCAATTTTTATCTTATAATTAATTTGCATTATTTATGATTTAAAATTTTTTTAGAAGAAGGTATTTTTTATTCATTGTAGTTTTTCTGTTTATATTTTTTATTGCGTATTTAGTCATTTAAACTTTTAAATACTATAAAATTATATTAATATCTATAGTTTTCATTTTAAAAATTATTTTAATATAAGACAGTAGATTATTCTTATATCTAAAAATATTATTTATTACATAATTTATATTATTTGTATTAAATTTAATTATATTAATTGTTTAGTTATAAATTTTATATTTATATATATTTTCCAATCATTTATATATACAATTGTAATCAGCAACTACAAAAAATCTAATATTAAAAAATAATACAATTTATAATATTGTTAAACATTAAATGATTTCAAATTTTTTTCAGAATACAAAAGCATCTTATGATTTTAGTAGTAATGATCCATATCCTTATCCGAGGTATACAGATGACTGGTTTAATAGGTAATTTTTAAATTATATTTAGTATTTAGTAACATCTGACTAAATAAAAGTATTCTAAGAAATTAAATATTGAATTTCATAGATATTTTTAATAAAAAATATGTTATTTATAATATTTTATGATTAAAATTTTTTTATAAGTTTATTATTTAAAGTATAAATGTTTGTATTTCTTGTTGGAATAAAGATAACAAAATTAGCATGAAAAATTAATAATAAATGTTAATAATTTATTACTATAAATTTATATTATAAAAACTTCCTGATTATTACAATTGTAATGAGAAATAAGTTTGATGTAAAATATGGTGTTTACTTAATATATTTTATACAATTTACGGTATAATTAAAGATTTATTAATTTTTTATGACAATTTTCAATCAAGTTAATTTACTTTTTTATTATACACTTGTATTAAATATATTTTTATGTTTAATTTCATGTTACAATTAATAATATATTGAGACGAATTCTTTATACAAATTTTTTATAAAGAATATTAACAAATTTTAATCATATAACAGGTAAGCCTATCTCCTATAATTTCAGAATATGTATAAATTATAGAGGTATTTATAAAGATGAGGTTGTTCGAAGATTGAGGTTTGTTTTGTGGCTGGAACTGCCAATTCAATAGTTCAGTGGATTAGTCTCTCGCCGTAGCGATTAGTAGGAAAAAACTCGAGTGGAAGGGCTGTAGATATGGATAATGTATATTCTTTAATTAAGGCATCGTTTATTCTTATTTATTAATAAATATAATATTGCAGTTTTATGATTGTTTTATGTGAGAGAAATGGAATTGTTCTATCGCTGTTCTGAGGTTGCCTTTTCAAGGTGGTGGCGATGTAGTTGATGTTAAAGTTGGGTTTATGCTGATGTTGTAAGGTTCAGAATGAGAAATCGACCATGCTTATCAATGAGCAAGGGAAGTTGGTAATGGTAATCAATAGTGCTCAGTAGGGAGAGTAAGCATAATTAAAAGAAAATACGGTAGCCTCTGTGGTAGTTGTTACGTAAATCGACTATACTCCAAAGGGAGTATGGGAGTATTAGAGAGCTAGTCACACGCAATAACAATAAATGATAAGCCTTCAAGTACGGAAGGACTTAATAATAGTTATAGTCGACTATTTGATAACTGTTATCTACCCTTGATAATGTAATTAAACGGATTGGAGAGGCGAACGAACGGTCTCCGGCCTGGTCGGCCTGAGAGCGTGGTGTTATCACCTGTTTTGACTGTAGCTGGGTGAACGAACGTTTTCCGGCCTGGTTAGCCTGAGAGAGCGTGTTGCTGCCACCCTTCTTGGTAGACTTTATGTGAAACGTGATTCGAGCGTACAATATTAGCTTGTACATATAATATAGAAGATGTACCTTATGAACTACCGTCACGGTATGCTGTTTGGTTGCGTGTCTCGCGCATTTTATTGATTACAATTCCAATGGCATCACTGTTAAATTACTAACTTCTTATTGCAGATTCTGTTAATAATGCACGTATATGTTGTAGGCCGATTGCCAGCCTTGCGGCTAAGATTCGTAATCGTAATTGATAACTAATACTAGATAGATTAAAGTACATTAATTAATAATAACAGATGAGTGAGCGAGTGGTAGAATTACAGTGAGCTGTAATTAATAACTGAGTAGATAGTAAACTACACCGTGAGCCAGGTGCGTGGCGACTGAGTGGATGTTAAAAGTACAGTGCCCGGTGCGTGGCGCTTGCTCTTAAATATTCGCGTGGTAGCTTGCGACGCCGACAACAGCGCCGATGCCTGTTGCTATACCGAAAATCGTCGTGACGTCAGAGAACGAAGCTCTGGAAGGTTCTAGAAGTTTCATCGGCATTGCTATGCGGAAATATTGTCGTATATTCGGATTTAAAGTGTAGGAAAATTCCCGAATTCGCTGAATCGTGTTTATAAACATGAGCGTCCGGTAGCTTGTACTTTACCCAATTTAAATTCTTAAAAACTGCTCCAATTCCCAAACATATACTTACACAATTATTATGATTTTTTAAAGTAGTTTATTGTACATTTAATAGATATAGATATAAGGATTCAGATTTATATTTATACAGTGTCCATTACCCCACTTACAATAATATTTTTCCTATCGATTGATTCGTTTATTACTACTAATTTCAGGCGTTTGCTTTTATCTTATTCGATATTATTTGAATTAGAAAGTCAAATTAGTTCATGTCACCAATTAATGTGGTAAATAAGTTAATAAAGTATTCTAATTGAACTGTAATATATTGTATCATATATACAATCATATACAACTACACTAGAATAAGAAAACATAAAGCAATAATTTTAGTTTGTTGTTGATTTCATCTAAATAAAATAGTTATGTGAATTATGATGTATAATGAAACTAATAATAGACTAAAACTTTAAAGAATAAAATATTGTTATGATAAAATTATTTGCTTTTTTATATAACATTGAAACATAATAATTTTCTCTAACTTGTATTTTTATTAATTATCTAAAATTTTTGTATTTCTTCTTAATTTCTTTTGCTTAAGAATCTACAGTATAGATTAAATATATTTTTATATTCAATTAATTGCAAGAGAAATCGTATAAATACTCCTTTTTATAATTTTTGGTAATTCAATATATATATATATTAAAGTATTCATTAATAATATTCAATAACTGTATTTTATATTTGTTAGTCATATATTATTAATATCTCTATTCATATTTATAAATATTTATACTTAGAATAAAAACCAATTATCTAGTAATCAAATCAAGTAAATTATGTATGAATATATCATTTTTATAAAAAAAAATTGGTCATTATCACTATTAAACTATTCTGTATATTTTTTTGTATAATTGTATTTTTATATTATGTTATATACAAGTAATTTAAGAAATAAATTGCATATTGTAAAAAATATTTTATTAACATTGTATTAAATTTTATTATATTGCACAAGATATATTTATTTTCGTGTTTCTACGCGTCTTCTGCATTTTTATGAATTTATAAAAGATGAAGAAAAATATATGTGTTTTAATAAAATAATTCAAACACATTTACGTTAAAATATAAAAACATTTGTATTACTTCTAGTCATGGAACTAGATGTGCGGGTGAAGTAGCTGGGGCACGCGATAATGGTGTTTGCGGGGTAGGCGTCGCTTATGACTCGAGAATTGCCGGTATTCGGATGCTTGATCAACCATACATGACTGATTTAATTGAAGCCAATAGTATGGGTCATGAACCTAATCTCATCGATATTTATAGTGCTTCTTGGGGACCTACAGACGACGGAAAAACCGTCGATGGCCCAAGAAATGCAACAATGAGGGCTATTGTTCGAGGAGTTAACGAGGTAAATTCTGTATTTCTTTGATTCAGTGTTTTGTTCATTTTCTACCAGAATATTAAAAGAAAATATAGGACTGTAATAGTAATTTTCATTAGTATTATAGAAAAATTAATAAGAGAGTAAATATATATATTGAAATAAGTGAAAGTTGATTACTGTAATTATCATAGTAAATGGTTTAATGTAAGTATGCACTACATAAGTAATTAAATAACATATATTTTTTTTATTTAAGATTTTTCATAATATTTCTTTAATTTTTCATAATAATTTTCGAATAATTATTTTCTTCATTTATGATTTTATACAAAGGAAAAAAAAGTATTCTTGAATCAGATATTTTTAAATATACAATTTATTTTTATCAATGTATGAATAATGTTGAAAATAATTTTTTATATTTGATTTTTAATAGATTTAAGAGCAAAATTCCAATTATAAAATATAGATTCTTAATTTTAAATCTCAATCTTAACTTAATCTAATAGAATTATAAATTATATTAATGTTTAAGGATATTGTATTAAGGTTTAAATTCTTTTTAAAGGTACAGTTTAATTATCTACATTTCAGATTTTCTACAATTGTTTTAGTTTTTATTATATGTTTGTAATATTAAATGAAATGAATCAACAGATTTCAATTTATAAAAAAATATATTTAAGAAAATTTTAAATATTTGTCACATTATAGTTTCTAACAGGATGATGATTCAATACTTATTTTGTAGGGGCGCAAAGGCTTAGGGAACATATACGTATGGGCCTCTGGCGATGGTGGGGAAAATGATGATTGCAATTGTGATGGCTATGCAGCCAGTATGTGGACCGTAAGTATCAACAGTGCTATTAACGATGGTCAAAATGCCCATTACGACGAAAGCTGTTCAAGTACTTTAGCATCAACGTTCAGCAATGGAGCAAAAGATCCAAATACTGGAGTGGTGAGTCGTTAAAAATGTATACTATTCCGAATTTTCTAAAATTCGTATAGAACATCTTTTATTATTTATATTACTTTCATAAATATTGTTATAAGTAACTGAATTTTAAGAATTTTTAGAAATGTAAAATACCTATTTTATGAAATATTATTTCTGAAAAAATGATTATCTTTATAAGAACATTATATTAAATACTTTAATTTAAAATTAAATCGAAGCAGGCAATTTAAAATAAAACTATATAAAATTATTTAATAATTTTATTTAATTTTTATAATATCTTTGATAATTCTTTTAATTTAATAAATATTTGAATTTTAAATGTATGATATTAAGACTTTTTTTAATATTCCAAATTTAAGGTTGTTCGGAAAATAATCCCACAATTCGACTAGTCAGCCAAACGTGCAATGATTAACGTAGAACAATAAAACCCACTAGATGTTATGTGGGGTTGCCGGGCAAGTAAAGGGTGAATGCACTGATTAATAATTAACACATGTCTTTATTATTTCTATTTATTTAAATTGATGTACAAAAGGGTGAATTACAGACGAACTTTATATTTCTTGATAATCTTGTGGTGTTGAAATATATTTACTATGAATGAAGCAGGTTATAATCTATTGAATATTATCACTAAGAGGTTATGGTGATTGTAATGCTCTGATCCAACACTGGAATGCTATTGTGTTTATCTTAATACGTGTGTAGTTGCCTTTAAATATCGGTCGTAAGAGAGCCGAGATGGAGGTTATGCGAAGCTGTGCGCCATCTGTGGCGGGAACAACTTGCAGTTGGAGGGATTGAGAAGCCAATGTGGCTTTTGTAGCTGGTCTTGTTCAAGAGTATGTCCGGGAAGCTTCCGTAGTTGGACTTTAATCCGTCCGTCTTCTACATAAGCCGAGAAATCAAGAATGAGTACTAGCTGTAAGGACTTACTTGCAGTGTATCGTGATTTTCCAGTCTCTCTTCGATGGCTTGTTATTACGTTCCCTTGCAATGTTGCAACCCTTCAGTTCTTCCTTGTCTCCAAGTGAGACCACAAGTGGTCAGGTCCCACGCAATCCAGTCTTGATGAGATCAATTCAACTGTACACTAATTCACAATAGTGGAAAGAACTTATTATTAAAACTCAGCTAGCTAAACGACTCATCTCTCCGGTCCTCCTCCGTGAGAGTTGGTCGTGACTTATCCTTCACTGTAAGAAGTATTTGGAAAGAGTAAGTGAGGGTACATTACGTAGTCCCTTCTTAAAATGATTCACTGATCCCGCTCCACTTGGGATCCCTTCTTCCTTTATTAATTAACCAATCAGTGGTTGATCTTGGGTCGCACAATAGATTATGCACGCCTTCATTTCCACTTCCTTCCGGGCTCAGTTCCGAATTTGCTAATTGGGAAAGTGTCGGAAGGTGGCGAGCCTTTTCCATTGGTCACCTCTCTTTGGTTGCCTCATCCCTCTCTGGGACTTGGCTAGAAGAAGGGTCCGCTTGGGCGTGGTCAATTTTCCAATACGATCGACCAGATGTGGCATAGCCAAGAACAATGCAAGCATTGTCTTAAAGGCCGAGTGCGCACGTATGGTCATTGCATGTTGTTGCACGTACGGGTTTTGGGTTTTAGTAAATGTTTGTACTCAATGCTTTACGCATATCTGATATTCGTTTCGAATCTACTTTGGGGTTCTCCCGGCAGTAAACCCATTAGGTTCTACTGCACTGGGAGTATGAGCACGTTCCGCTAGAGTTTTCCAGATGTTTTATGACACTAGTACAAATAATTATGAGCAGGAAAGTTTTGAAGTCTTAAATACAATTTTCATGACATTACTTGTCAGATATTTTATTGCCTTATTAAACGGAGTCTCTTATTCTCAAACAAATATGATAAATGATGTTTCAAGTCATTTAAAAAGTCAGTTAGCTTTTTGAATTTAAGTACCCTATCAATATAACTGTCTACAAATACGAAAACTTGGAACAATATTTAGAAATGTATGAGATTAAACTTGCCTTAAAAAAAAACTCATTTAGTTTGAATACGAAATACAATTTTAATAAAAATGTTTCTCTCATCATTAAAAATTCTATTTTTTCAGTTCATTAATAGCAAACTATATTTATAAATGAAATGCTTGTTCTTAATACTTGCTTTGCTATAGAAAATTAAATAAATGTAATATAACAAATTCAAGATTTAAATGCATAAAGTAATCGAAAATTAAAATAATTTATAGAAATGAACTTATATAAGAAATTTTATTTAAAGAAGTTTATTTAAAATAAAAAATTTGTATTTACATATAATATCTATAAACGCATCAAATCATTAATAAACATTCTGTAATAATCAACACCACAATGAAGATTGGCTTTTCGTATATCAATTATAGTACCTGTTCTGGGGCATGTTCCTTGGTTAACACCTAAAATAAAACTCCCAAAAATAAGTGGACCACCACTGTCACCCTAACAAGAAAGGTTAGTTTTAATATCTTTATAGTCAGTAATAGTAAAATTTACATGTAAAGAAGACATAGAGATTTTTTTTTAATGTTTTTATAAGCGAATAATGTTTTTTGAGTGTGCATTATTGAAAATTTTAATATTCAAATAGATTATATCATTACATCGTTCGTGTATTAGCGGGAATGGAGTATGCTGTGGGACAATGGGACATGACCCATATGCAGGTATGCTGGTGGCCTGTGGCCGTCGGGTTCATTGCTCATCATAAAATTTAGGCAGCACGTGGGTTGCCTTTATCTAAAGAATTTCATTAAATCTTCCCTTCACCAATTATGCTTATTTGAGTGAATGAAGAAGTTTCATGTTTTCCTTAGTCCTGCAATATTCTTCTGCAGGTGTTGTCGACTGTTGTCAACTGGTATGGTACCTCCTTGTTTGTCTTAGATGCCTATGATTTTATTGAGGTCCCACTTGTTTTGAGTTAATATGAAATTGTGTGTATCGCAAGCATAGCGCGAATTGTGAAATTGTATGTATCGCGAGCAAGACGCGAATTATGAATTTCAATAGGTTGTATCGCGGGCAAGACGCGAGATATGAAATTGTGTGTATCGCAAGCATAGCGCGAATTGTGAAATTGTATGTATCGCGAGCAAGACGCGAATTATGAATTTCAATAGGTTGTATCGCGGGCAAGACGCGAGATATGAAATTGTGTGTATCGCAAGCATAGCGCGAATTGTGAAATTGTATGTATCGCGAGCAAGACGCGAATTATGAATTTCAATAGGTTGTATCGCGGGCAAGACGCGAGATATGAAATTGTGTGTATCGCAAGCATAGCGCGAATTGTGAAATTGTATGTATCGCGAGCAAGACGCGAATTATGAATTTCAATAGGTTGTATCGCGGGCAAGACGCGAGATATGAAATTGTGTGTATCGCAAGCATAGCGCGAATTGTGAAATTGTATGTATCGCGAGCAAGACGCGAATTATGAATTTCAATAGGTTGTATCGCGGGCAAGACGCGAGATATGAAATTGTGTGTATCGCGAGCAAGACGCGAATTGTGAAATTGACATTACTTGTCAGATATTTTATTGCCTTACTAAACGGAGTCTCTTATTCTCAAACAAAGGTGAAAGTACTTAAGTAATCCTAAATATGTAAAAAAAATTAAATAATGCTTTTTACAGGAATTTATTTATTTATAAAGAAATCCATTTTATAATGTAGAAAAGCTAATATTTATCATAATTTCTGATTAAATTTAAATTCAATTGAACTTATATTTGTGATCAAAGAAACATAAAATAGCTTCATTTTTCTTTTAACTAGAATGGTACAAAAATTAATACACATTAAATATTAATACTAATATATAATACATGTATATATTTTTTACTTGTTTTTTCGTATTAGTATTTCATCATTAAAACTTATTAGTAGATAGATTTATTAAGAGAGTTATTAACTATATTATATGTACCAAATTGTAATTATAAATAATAATAAAAAGTATAATATTTATAATAGTAATGTGTATTTCAACAGAAAATATAATATTCTATTAAAAATATTATTGGATACAACAAATACTTTTCATATTTTAAAATAATATAAAAAATATCATATTCAATTGTACAGTACAATAATCTATTTCATTGACATATTTGTTGTTTTATTTCAATACATTATTAGAATAACAAAATAATTTAATTATAATGATTCATAGCGCAATGCGTAGTGCATATCATATTAAGTTCATGTTTTATTATTAAATTTTTAAATTTATATTTAAAAATTTATTATTTCATTTATAACATTTTTGTGAAGATTACATCAAAATAAAGTAAAATGGCTCAATAATCTAAAATAATCTAAAGACAAAAATGAAAATATGAAAATTTAATATTTTTTTAACAAAAGTTTAACCTAAACGATATTTCTGGCTTTTTATATCAATTTTTATATCAAAAGTGTTTGTTTTAAGAATTTTAATACATTTATATAAATTTATATAATTGCTTACACAAATTTAAGATTTTATTCCATCTTCTGATATGTATTCATTTTTTTTTCAATTAAGTTGTAATTGATGGATTTTTTTAGAAACTAAATTATACGAATTAAAAATATTGAGATTTTATAATATCATGAATATGTTTTCAAAATGCTCACTGAAATATTCTTGTAGTTGTAACATTAGATAAATACATATAATATCAATATAAATCAATATAATCAAAGAATTATTTTAATATATCAATATAAATCATAATATCAATATAAATCAATATAATATCAATATAAATCAATATAATATCAATATAAATCAATATAATATCAATATAAATCAATATAATCAAAGAATTATTTTAATATCTAATGGAAGCAATTCTGTACCACAGTCATTATGGCGATTTTATTATCGGTGGTCTGTTTAATATTAAGTCAAACTAGAAAGATTCTAACAAATTTCATAATAAAGGTATGCCAATATTTAGATCATCTGAAGCCAAATTCTGCGATAAATCATAGCGAATAAAAGTCGTTTTTATTTTATGATTTAAAAATTACAAGATGTGTATTCATCATATGCATTTTAATACGAAGCATTTTTAGAATGCAGAATAAAAAACCTTTGAATTAACCAGTCGAGAAAATTGAATATTCATTGTACAAATGGTTTACATGTAACGGGATCAGTGAATTGTTTTAGTTCCATTTTAATATTCAAAAGTAGTGCAAGAAAATTCCTAGCTATACAAATATCCGACAAAACAATATATACTTCAATATAAATATATCACAATAGTATATTAAGCAACGCAAAATGATCAAATATGTAGATACGATTTACCAATGATTATCAGACTACTTATTTTTAAGATACTAATAAGGTTTTATCGCTAATGAGGAGTGAGAGTACTACAGTAATAATATATTTACCCTTAGAGGCGATCAGAAAATTGCCATCTTTTATAGTGTAAAACTTTTTATTTATACCATAAAAATTTGCATTGTATGTCTCCGGAGCATTCAATGAGAGTTAAACTGTGCACGATGATTTCTTTTAACATATCTTAACAAAGATAGACTGAAAATAATCTTCAATGAATACATTAAATTAATTTTCATATTGTATTATTTATATTATTTGTTTTTCCATACATTCATATATCTGTACATTTGTACCATATATGTATAGATTACTTTTATAATCAGAAATATTATCTTTTTGAGTATTTTTCTAATCAATACTAATCTTAGTCTCAATACTAATCTTAATTCTATTATATTTGATTGGTAGACAAGTAACTTTATTTTGTATATATATGGAATATTCATTATGTAATCGAACTTAAACTAAATAAAACAATTAATAACATCTCATATAATAAATATTTATTTTGAAATTATAAAACCAGAAAAAATTTTCTACATTTTTAAAAAATTTATTTATTTAACTTTTTTTTTAGGCAACAACTGATTTATATGGACAGTGTACTACAACTCACAGTGGAACTTCTGCTGCTGCTCCAGAAGCAGCAGGCGTATTTGCTCTTGCTTTAGAAGCTAAGTAAGTTCTACATTCTTTTATAATTTTATTTTTTGTTCTTATATTTTGTAACTCAAATGAAGTTAACTTAAACATATTTTTTTTTTATTATTTATTAACGTACTGTCCTACTTAATATGAATGGCAGTGCTATATGAAAAATATTGTCGATATAATGAAATTAAAACAAAGGTTTATATATTTATTAATATTCATGATAAATTATAAAATATTAATATATAAATATAAACTGATATATTAATTGAGAATTGATTTTTCGTGGTTATATTTTTTAATTTTTTTATCGTTTTTTGTTTTTTCCATTCCTGAACTACTGTTTTATTATAACTCTTTGCTTAATAAAATGTAAATTCCTTGCACTGATATCATTTTATATATGAGGTTAATATTAACTTATAACTATTAACATTAAAATTAATTATTCTTACATGTAAATTTAATAGTATTTGAATAATTTAAATACAATTTTTATAAAGTATTGAAGTAATAAATATACGTGAAATTAAAAATGGTTTCATATAAGGCGTGTATGTAATTTGAAATTAAATACATAATTAAAAGCGTTACTTTTTCGTTTAAATACTATAAAAAATTTTATAAACATTTATTATTCGAATAAAGGTTTATTATTTTTTTTTTTACTAAAAGTTTACCTCTTTATTTATACTTTTATAATTATTTATTTCATATTCTATTATTATTATTATTATTCTATTTCACGTTCTTATCATACGATTCATTTTATTGTTTGTTCATATAAAAACTTATTACTTAGGAAATATTATATATCATATAAATAAAGTATTAAAAACTATTATATTAAAGTTATAGATAAAATTATCGTGTTTGTTAATATAAAATATTATTATATAATAATAAAATATAAAAATTAGAGTTTCACATATTGATTGATATTTAATATCTATAAATAATCTTACAGTTCACAGCTTACTTGGAGAGACATTCAACATTTGACTGTATTAACATCCAAAAGAAATTCTCTTTTCGATGCTAAAGGTAGATTTCATTGGACAATGAATGGAGTTGGTCTTGAGTTTAATCATCTGTTTGGATACGGCGTTTTGGATGCCGGTGCTATGGTTGCTTTAGCAAAAAATTGGAAAACAGTACCACCACGGTATCACTGTGAAGCAGGAACTATTCAAACAACTCAGTAAGTCCATTCATTATTTTTTCCTTACTCACTTTGTAATTTTATCTAATTTTACAAAAGTAATTATATCAAATTTAATACTTTACATTATAGAATATTAAAATAATTTTATGAAATCTAATGTTATTGGTTATCAATCTAATGTTATAAATATATTAGTTTTGTTTTTAAAGAATTTAGTGTTTGCTTCATTTAGTTAATATATAAATTAGTTCATATTTAATATTAATAAAAATTATCATTAATGAACCATATTATAAAATCTTTCGTTTAAGTTCAATGTATTTTGTAAAGTATTGAAATGTTTGTACAATTTATATAATTTATAAATTAATAAACAATAAAATATGTTTTAATTTAATAACTATATTATTAATTTTAATATTTTGAAGTAAATACAGAAATCTTTAGTTTAGTTTAGTTTCGTTAAACCAGTATTTAAGGATATAATTACTATACTTCCTTTCGAAAAAAATATATTTTATTTATAGTTTTTTGTTGAAATTTTGTTCTATTAAAAAAATTATTTTTATTACTAAAACTAACTAAAAAATGACGTTTTTATTAAAAATTTTGTTTAATAATTATTTAATTAAAATTTTATATAAAAATATTGAAAATATCTATATAGGTGAAATTAATAAGTGTAGATTTTTCATTATTAAATACCAATATCTGTTTATTAGTTTATAAGACAGTTATTTTATATAATAAAAATATATTAAAATTATATTTATTTTTAGAGAAGTACCAAACCATAGATCAATTTTATTGAAAATTAAAACTAATGCTTGTAGTGGTACAGAATATGCAGTAAATTATCTTGAACATGTACAAGCCGTTATTTCACTTAATGCTACTCGACGAGGAGACTTGGAACTTTTTTTAACATCTCCAATGGGAACTAGGTATAATTTATTTATTACTATTTATGATAGATAATAAAATTTCTAAGTATAGTAAATTATCATTTATATCTACAAATGGAAAGAAAATATGTTTTCTGCTATAAAAAAATCAATATGATTGGTTTATTAATTTAAATAATATGCAAATATTATGAAAATTTCATGAAAAATAAATGAATTAAGGCCTACTTTAGAAATAATTTATAATTTTATTCAAACATGTTTAGAAAATATACATTAAAAAATTTATTATTTGATATTTTCAAATTCATAAATATCTGAAATAGTAAACAAAATTGTCGATATTTTTTTAGTACTACGATCAAAAGCTTTATGATAGTATCCATATAAAATGAAATTCGTCGATTTAGAATAAATAAGCGATTATTGAGAAGTTCTGTAATATTAATTTTTTAACGATAGACTACAAACTTTATTTTCATTGCTAATAATTTATACATAATGTAAGAATTATTGTTGGTTAAAAAAAAAAACAAAAAAGAAAATAAAATGTTTTAATAAAAATGTGTTCTTTAATTTATTAACAAAATATTTGATGTTTTGTAGAGATGAATATATTTTATATTATTAATATTAAAATAAAAATAATTTTAGAATTTAATAATTAAAAAACTAGTAAAAAAAACTTGAACATGAAATGTAAATATAATATATAAAATTTAATATATTGTATATGCGTAATATATTTTTTCATTCTATTGTAAGATAATAATAATAATAATAATAATAATAATAATAATAATAATAATAATAATAAGATAATAATTATAAACTTCATATATAGGTATATTTTAAAACTTAAGTTACATACAATAATAAATTAATTTAGTATAATAGAAACAGAATTACTCAAAAGTCATATCCTTCTCAACAACTTATATATATATATATATATATATAATACACATATTTGTATTTGTATGAATAAGAAAATCTTATTTTTTTCAAAAATCAATGAGAAAATAAATGATAATAATTATATAATATATATATATATATATATATATATATATATATATA